TGGTGGTGATTAGATGCTGCTCCTTTTAGCGCCCAGGGCTTATAGGTTTTTTTTTTGTTGATATTTGATTAAGCGATATGGAATTCAATTAGAAGCTGTACGAAAAAAAGGCTGAAAAGATCAATTCCTTGCAAGATAATCAAACTCTTTTATAAAAATATGTATATATATATTATTTATTTATTGAATGAACACCGGAACGAGTAAGGGAAATACCGTCCCTGAGGGGTACAGTGACTCCTTAAGGTGGCTCGATACAGTTTTGCAGGGTCAATGCCTCCCAAGTTTGAGCATAAACTACGTCGCCATACACAAAGATTTGGAAAAATTGCCGCCACAGTTGTATCAGATAAAAATGAAAATTTGTTATCATTAGGATTTCAACGACGTCGGAGTTGTCATAGCAACGAAATGACGCTATTACCTGTTTTACTTGCAGAAGTATATCTCGGCACTGGGAACTGTTCTACCAAAATCGTTCACGGGAGCTTTTTCCTCCAAAAGCGGCCTCGATTTTCGTGAAGTTTAAGCGAAATCTGTAAGAGTGTTATCAGGATGTTTTGGGGTGAACTTTTTATGGTTAGAAACACAGTAAAAAGTGGACAATCTTGATGTTCGGCTGTTATCTGTAGAAAACGAGGCGCTTTTGACATGCAATTTCACCTCATAGTAGTTTCAATCTTTTTAAAAACGTTTGTGAAAGATCTTGGAGATTGCTAGAAAGAAGGGTTTGATTAGTATGTATCGAAGTGCTCTTGTTAGCGGTTTGTAAACATTTTGGTCTTCTTTAACAAATTAGCGAATAATTTTTAAACCGCTCTTGAGATTAACCTTCTTTTTATATGACCGTTTAGTTTCAAGATTGTTAATGATATGTGAAATAAATCATATATGAACTGCAGAAATGAAATGACCCGTGACCTCGCGATACCGGTGCGATGCTCTACCAACTGAGCTCTGAACATATGAACCCACAATTGACCTGCTGCCAACGTCAGTGGCTTCATAGCTCAGTTGGTAGAGCATCGCACCGGTATCGCGAGGTCACGGGTTCAAACCCCGTTGAAGTCCTGAATTGTTTTCAGGCTTCTTTACGCAATTGCATAAATTGCGTTCACTGCGACGATCATTTCTTCATTTTCAGTTTCAAGATTATAGATATATTTCAAAAGGTTGAGTTTGATCGTCCGGGTGAACGTAGTCCTGAATAGGACGATCAAATTCAACCTTTTGAAATGACTCCTGGGTTCAAACCTTTCACAGTTTTATAGATATATTGTAAGGCAGTAAAACAAGGGTTACAATTCGTTGATTTTTTATCGAAAAGTTTGTCATTAAAAGTAAAAGCCTCTCATTATTCAAGGAATTGTCTCCACGTTTCATTTTCACGTGAACAGCAGTAATTAACAATGTATTTGGAATATGCAAAACTGCTAGCTATTGTTGTGCACGAAAATATGGAAGTTGGAGACAATACCCTGAATAATGAGAGGCTCTCACTTATAAACACAAAATTTCTGATAAAATATTAGCGGACTGTAGCCCTTATTTTACTCCCTTACAACATATCAACTAGTTATAGCTATCGCTAAGTGCCAACGAGCTGTTGGCTGGGAGCCGCACAGCAGTTATCTCGATAACGCTGTTACAGATTTCGCTTAAACTGAAACATGAACATCGAGGTCGCTATTGGAGGAAAAAGCTCCCATAAACGATTTTGGAAGGACAGTTCTCAGTGCCAAGAAACACTGCAGCAAGTGAAATAGGTAATAGCGTCATTTCGTTGCTATGACAACTCCGATGTCGTTGAAACCCTAATCATAACAAATTTTCATCTTTATCTGACACAACTGTGGTGGCAATTTTTTCAAATCCTTGTTTATGCGGGTATTGACCCTGAAAAACTGTATCCAGCCACCTTAAAATCCGAATTTATATTTGTTGTAATAAATCTATTTGGCCTCCGGAAGAATAGCATTCATAGGTTAAAAGTAAAACTATAGAGAGGGACTTAACTGTTAGCGTACGGATATAGAACTCATTTTCTGTAACGGCCGTGTAGAACTACGACTGTTTTGAAGATTTCTTTTCTATACGGTATTGCTCTTTGTTCACGTTTGTAGGTGGGCACATTTTGAGACGGTACTTGAGGAATCGGTGGATCAGGGAATTCATTACACGACTGTGGAACAACTTCAAACTTCTGCCAGGGAAGATTGCCTCATTGACGATGATGACGAGTTTCAAACAATGTTAAATTTCTATCATGACCTCGGCCTGATTATAAAACACAGGAGCACAGTTGTTCTGGAGGCTAAATGGCTGATTGACCTGTTTAAAGAGCTGATTACCATTCCTCGTTTTGATGAAGCGGTGAGAAAAAAAAGTAGAAGAAAGAAGAGTTTCATAATTTTACGATATAAGAGGTGTTTTCCAGTTGTTACGTTGGCTATACAACTTATACGACTTATTAGTAAGCAAAACGCAGGATTCTGCTGGCCTAAATTGTAATTGTAATCTTAAAGGATAACGTTCACTGTCTTCATTTGTGACATCGTTATGGCATGGTAGAGACATGTGTCTTCGTTTAAGCGAAGCTAGGTAAATTTAGAGTTACCCTTTTTGTACACGAACAAAAATTGAAGTTACATTCACAAAATATTACGTTACGCACGTTATTTGAAGAATGCGGTTATTATAATAACCTGAAAATGTGAATCGTGTCGCGTAAATTAAACCTACGAAACTTATGAGCAAGCAGTAGGTGTGATTTAGACACTGAAATTTACATAAGAGGTTTAGTTATACCGCAAAAGTGAACCTTAAGATACACGTCTTGGTTGCTGCTAAGCCTGGAAATCCTGACACTATATATTTTGTTGCTTTTAGAACCCTCTTTTTTCAACCTACTGGAAGGAACTTGAAAAGAGTGGTGTTCTCCGCATGGAACTTGTCAGTCACGTGTTTTCCAAATTTGTGGATCAAACCATTGTCAAGGATGACATTTTGGATATGATGGACCAGTTTGGTTTGATTGCGAAATTTACATCAAGCACCTCTGGTACCACGTACTTTGTACCCGCGCAGCTCAAGACCCCACCCACAGATATTTGCAAACTACACCCTACCCCAGCTGATCCATGCCCACTATATCTTCATTTTCGAGGTGGGTTTGTTCCGAAAGGTCTCTTCATACGCCTTGTTTCCAGTTCTATTTCCTGGTGCTGTAAGACTTGGCAGGAGACACCACCTCCTACTCTGTACCAAAATGGTGCTCATTTCGTCATTGTCGGCAAGCAGATCATCTATGATTTTATTCTTCTTTGTAAGAAAAGTTTTATCAAGATTGCGCTGAAGCAAAGAAATGAAGATGAAGAGTCAGTTTCAGTGTCTGAATCAGTTGAAATACCAAGTCGCGTTCGTGTCTTCATAGACGACACTTTGCAAAAATTGTCTCACGAGTTGCCATGTCTTAGCGGGTTGCAGTACGAGTTATCCGTTGCGTGCCCCCACTGTCTGGCTGAATGTTCAAACCACCGTGAAGCTGCATGTACCCAAGAGGACTGTCTACACTTTTTTGAATTAAAGGAAGGGCAGCGGCTGATATGCACGAAGAACGTTCGTGATCGTGTGAGGAGGGTTGTTGGCATGGAAAAGTGGCTTTCTTTAAGAAGAATCGAGGTAAAATATTTAATAAAATATAGTATGAAGTGACCTAAAGTAATCTTTTGCGATGTTGATGTTAACAATACTAACCTGCGTAGCTGGCCACTAAGGTGCGCAAGAAGCGTGCTCGAACGAGTGCTCCCCTCCATTGCCCCTCCCCAACCAAATCCGCCAGCTAGTGGTCACAGCGGGACTTGGAATCTGAGCCTCCGGATGACAAGTCATATGCGTTGACCTCTCAACTAATCTTCCTCTGTTTTTGTGGATAATGATCTCAACATTATATACCGGAGAGGTGAATTAGTTGTATTACGTGTTACTGTGGTCGGGGAAGGGGGAATAAGCGAAGATGGTCTCGTATGGGTAAAAAAAATCGTTGACGGAAAATGCCCATCCTGCCCATATCTGGCACTTTTTTAGAACAAGTTTCCTTTACACTGAAGTGAAAGTAATTTTGCTTTCATATCTGAATAGCCAGAAATGTCAAAGATAATTTAACTTTTTCCCTCTTTTATCAAAGTTACCGCTTCCATTTTTATCAGTTTGTAAAATTTTTCAGTTTGTAATTTATATTTTTATTATTTTTGATTTGGCGTTGACAAGGGCTGAAAACTTAAAAGGTATCCAAAATTTCAACGCCCTCCCAATGTGCTGTAGCTGAAACCGTGCACACACGTACTGTCTCGAGGAGAAAGTACCCGACAGATTTTCTCAAATTCCATAATAAATTAGTCTCAGTCTATCGTACGTTTAACGTTGTTTTATCATTTTTTTGTAAACCATGTAAGTCTCGGCAGGGAAGACTAAAAAAAAAATGCTAAAACACTTCAGCAACCAGGCAAGTGCGTTGTGACCCCTTCAACTCAATCGGTGGTGAAATCAGTATTCACTTTGTCAAACGTATTGCTCTTTTGTTAGGTGCAGTACACTCCCCGTTTTCTTGGCACATGGCAAGATAGAGGAGGTGAAAGTGACCCAGAGAAATCTGTTAAAGCACTGAATGTTACTTTGTTGGCGAGTGAGTGGGGCTCATCCATGGGTGGCTTGTCAACAATTAACAGAAATCTCGCCATTCTACTTGCGAAGCACAGCTTGGTCAACATTACTCTTTTGGTACCACAATCGTCTTGCAGTGAGGAGGACCGGAGAGACGCTGCAGAACAGAACATTGTCATTCGTGAAGCAGAGAGTCTACCAGGATTTGATCCTCTTGTCTGGTTGAGCTTCCCACCGAAAAACCTTGCTATCGACATCGTCCTGGGCCATGGGGCAAAGTTGGGAAAACAAGCGCAAGTAATTCGGAAGTCCCACGGCTGTAAGTGGGTACAGGTGGTCCATACTGCACCTGAAGAACTTGGAATGTTCAAGAACTATGACAGCGCGGTTGCCAAAGGTGAAGAGAAGAACAGAGCTGAAGTAGACTTGTGCAGACTGGCAGATCTTGTCGTGGCAGTCGGACCCAAGTTGAGAGAAGCCTATTCATCCTACCTGCGGGTTTGCAAGAAACACCAATACATCTTCCAGCTTACCCCAGGTACTTTCCATGAATTTTCAATGCTGGAACAAGCTACACGGGAGGAAGGGAGGTTTAAGGTTTTGACCTTTGGCCGCGGTGATTCTGAAGACTTCAGTCTCAAAGGATATGACATTGCCGCCAAAGCAGTTGTTGAATTGAAAGATAGCTCCTACTGCCTGATGTTTGTGGGCGCTCCCATTGGGAAACAAGACGAAGTTGCCCAAAACCTGCTTCAGACTGGAATTGCTAAAAACCAGCTTATTGTCAGAGCGTTTGTGCAGGGCAAGGAAAGGTTAAAAGAATTGTTTTGTGAGGTTGACGTTGCCATTATGCCATCCAGAACAGAAGGTTTTGGATTAACAGCTCTGGAGGCGTTGTCTGCTGGTCTCCCCATTCTAGTGAGTGGCAATTCAGGATTCGCACATGCACTACGCGATTTACCCTCAGGAAAATCGTTTGTGGTGAATTCCAACGACCCCATGGAATGGGCGAAAGCAATTGCTGCTGTTCGCCAAAAAGGAAGAGCCCAACGTCTTCAAGAAATCCAAACCTTGCGTGCTAGCTACGAAGAGAGGTACAACTGGGAGGAGCAGTGTGGAGCCCTTGTTGAGAAGATGTGGAATATGGTCCAGGGTAAGTGCTTTGTTAAAGTACTATTATAATACTGTAACCTCCTCCGTTTAACATTTGGTGACTTGGCGCAGTAGACGAGGAGATGACTTTGCATGTTGAAGGTCCGGGGTTGGACTTCCGGCTGAGGAAATGTTTTTCCCTTTTTTTGGTCGTTTTGTTTCTGTTTTTAACCCTACTTTTTCTTACCTTTTGGCTGGTTTAATTTATTTACACTGCTGCCCTTTCTTTACACCTTCGCGAGGTGTTGCGATAAACGTATTTCTAGTTCCTATTCTTAAAGCTTATAATTGAATATTTCCTCTTTAGTAAGTTTGGATCATATATAAGCTTTAATTTTGAAATATGGTGACAAAATAAAAAACTAAAGGAACGAAAACAATTATAAAGTCTTAGCTCCTTCTCCTATGTTGAGAAGTAAAGGCTCAAGGCGTATGTCACAGTTTCCACTATGTTCCAGCTTCCTTTATTTCCAAAGTAAAAATACGTACGTGGAATGTTAGAATGTAAAACTGCAGTAAAAATAGTTGAATGCAAATTGTTCCTCGCGTGAGTTTCATTTGCCAGCAGGTTGAGTTTTGAAAATACCGTCAATGAATGGTAAAATTTAGGGTAAAAAATTGTGACCATGTCGTTTAAAAATAAAGAAAGTACGATACAAGTAACGATTTCTTGTCCTCCGGCCTAATTCACCAGTGGGAGAAAAGATGCCTGTAAGTCAGTAGTGCCGACACTTTCTGTAACTTAAGTCTATGCTCACACTATCATACGGATCACAGCTTTTGCGCCGGCACGAAAATCGTACCGGAAATGGCTTCTGTTGACACATAAAAACGGTGATTTTGGCGCGATTTTTGTATCGGGGCGAAGCTGCGCCGCGCCGGTGATGAGAGTGTATCGTCCATATTGGATAGGTTTCGGTCGGCATAGTGTAGACAAAGCCTATATGAAACATTTAAGTTATCAACAAGAGAGTCCTCTCTTGGTCATCAAGGTATATCTAACTCTAACTTTCTGGGACATTTCAAGATTTTACCTTCACGTGCGCTCTTGCTTTAGATCCCAAGTTTTAGATTAAGTTAAATCGTCTTTACTCATATAGTTTTAGATGAGATGTCTTGATAAGCACAGTGTCTGAGGTCCAACGAACTGTGCTGTCGTTTGTGTCCTTCGCTGTTTGCTTGTCTTCTTTAACCCGCAGCGTGTTTGTTATTTCTTTGTTTCCCTTAGAGAACTAGAAAGAAAGTCAATCTCCTGTGGAGCAAAATCTCCTCTGACGTAACACCAAAACTGAATCTATGCCCGGGCTGAGTTCATCTTCAAGATGCGGAACCAGGGCAGAACCATGCAATTCTTTAACTACGTTTACAAGTATACTCATTCGCCTCAAGAGAAGAAAACTGCCAACTTAAAAAACGTTTATCAGTAAGGACTTTTAAGTAGTGTAAATAAGTTGTTTTATCACATGATTAGAGGAGGTTAAAAGAAATCAGTCTAGTCTGCAGTTCTCAACGAATGTTTAGGGAAGATAAAAAAGACCTACATTATTGTAAAGTACAGGAAGTTTTATAATTTTTAGTTACTTTGAGAAGGGTCCTTCCATTAGTTAATTAGTGAAAGTAATTCAGAAACTGACTAACTATTCTAGGTTTTTGGAAAATGACCCGAATACGAATACATGCCCCTTCCTATGGTTATCTGGTCTGTGAATAGAGTCGATTCGCGCCCTCTGTTCACAGTTTTGAACTTATACATGTAATTAGCGCTGATAATTCGAAGGAAAGGGTTGGGTGGATTTAAAACAAAGTAATATCAATTTTACGTAAATCGTTTATTCTACTACTTAGACATTATATTCAATATTTTTGTAAGACATTTTCGTAGAACCGATTTGTTTTAAGATTTTCTATTGAAAGGGAAAAGCGGAGAAATCAAATTCTCCCTAAATAACCGCAGTTTAACGTTCATAGATCAACAACACCAATATAATTTCAGTTTGTAGAGAAGACAAATTTTAGACATTTCGGATTAAATAGTTAGAGAAATCATTTATAACTTTGGTATGTAAAAAGGATTCCATGTCACTGTATGTTTATGTTTTTAAAATCAAGGTGAAGGTTTGGGTGGATTTCAAACACAGTAAAGCCAATTTTATGAAAAGCATTTATCGTATATCATAAGACAGTATTTTCAGTATTTTTGTATGACATGTTTAAGGAACCCACCAATGTAGATTTACTATTAATGAGTGACAAGTGAGAAAACCAAATGCTCTCTTAATGAAATTAGTTAAACGTTAATTGAAATTTTTTAGGGAAGACGTTTCAGATAGAATAGTAAAAGAAATCATATGTTATAACCATAGTATGTAAATAGAATTCTATGTCATATTATTTTTATGTTTCTAAAAAGGTGTAATGTGATGTTAAACAAAGTAGGAAAAAAATTAAACACACCAAAGAAGCCGAAATGCTAAGAGTCCTAAGAGGAAAGTACTTTCAGTAACACATTGCTTACAAATAAACTATGTGCTATTTTGACTGTATTGTTGTCACTCCATTGTTGCTTTACTGACGGATCGATTTGGTACCCGGAGTAGTGTAGGAGTTGCTCGGTAAGTCTCTCCTTATTGGTCGCAGGAACCAATGACATGTGAGTTGGGACTCGAAATTGAAGGATTGTATGCAATACTGAAAAGATCATACTAGAGTGGTTCGTTCACAGGGAACCACGCTTACCGTACGAAAGTTAAGTCACTTAGCCGTACAAAGCTCTGTATGAATTGAGCAAAAATATTGAACGAAACGGCCTCGTGTGAAGGAAGTGTCAGGTTAAATTTTTCAGTCGGTTGAAAATTAGGGCCTGTTTATATGGAGGCGGGGGACCCCAGGTAGGTGAGGTAACCCGCTTAGGTGAGGTAACCCGCCTGTCCATATAATCTCTAATTTTAATTTAATTACGTTTACATGATAGGTGGGGTGACCCGCCGCATGTTACCTCACCTATCTAGGGTCCCCCACCTCCATGTAAACAGGCTCTTAGTCCGGTGCCATGTGAACGTACAGCCGTTGCCTCAGACTCGTGGGCCGGTCATTTTAAACGGAGTTTAGCTAGACTACGAGTAGTCCCCATTTTTCCTCAGGGACAGTAGCGCGAGCGAAACGCGAGCGCGCGTGAAAATCACCCCACGCGAGAAAGGCGAGACGTGGCGGCGTCTAGAGGTTGGCCAGTCTTTAACGAAACCGCGTTCTAAGCCATGAGTTGGCTCAACGCTTTCTTCTAAACCTTGTTTTAGCATGAACAGTGTAATGAAAGCATATCCAGTGGAACCCAGGTCACCTCGTTATTACGGCCACTTTTTTTCGGCCCGGCAAAACGGTCAGACATTTCCTTATAAAAACACCCCTGTTAATGCGGTCACTCGTTAATACGGCCAACGGCCACATTTTAAAATCCTAAACACCAGAATCGCTTATAATTTTACCCCGTTAATACGGCCACTTGTTTGAAATTTAGAAAATTAAAATGGCTGTGACATGTCAATATTGTTGACCTAGTACTCTGAGCCTGTTCTTGTACTGTTCTTAGACTACAGTACATATAAACTGCAGTTGTTGCGATTTTATAGCCGAATTTTAAAAGTGATTTATGTACTAAAGAGAAATTTTAAGTAGTTTTTTCCAATTACTGTACGCGATATTTACATTTCGGTTGTTTATTAATGAGAACAGTTGTTCAAGAAATGCGAATGCGCTGTACGGTGTATTTGTCTTATTTTGACCAAAGACAAGTAATTGTCGATAAAAAATCCATCTTTCAAAGTCCCATATATAGCATTGCAAAAGGGTTAACCCATGGTTTTGGCCGCGGTGATTCTGAAGACTTTTTGGCCAAGCCCCTTGGAAAAAAATGTGATTTTTGGAACTTTGAAAGATGGAATTTCTTATCGCCATCAAGCTCACTTTTCTATCTAGAATCGTATGTTTCTTTTCTATCTAGAATATTTTAAAACACTATTTCTAGTCTTATTTTCAACGAAAACGCGTAAAGAAAAAAATAGAATTTTTTGGCCAAACCCATGGTTAACCCCTTTGCAAAAAATGCAGTTGTTGGGACTTTGAAAGTTTGAAAAATGTTTCTTTTCTATCTAGAACATTACTAAACATTATTTCTAGTCTTATTTTGACCGAAAACAAGTAACGACCAGCTTATTGTTAGAGCATTTGTACAGAGCAAGGAAAGGTTAAAACAGTTGTTTTGTGAGGTTGACCTTGCCATTATGCCTTCCAGAACAGAAGGTTTTGGATTAACAGCTCTGGAGGCGTTGTCTGCAGGTCTTCCCATTCTGGTGAGTGGCAATTCAGGATTCGCACATGCACTACGCAATTTACCGTCAGGAAAATCGTTTGTGGTAAATTCCAATGACCCCAAAGAAACCAGGATTCCCGCTGTCTGCGTTGATAATTTTAGCTTGGTATCCTTACGTTGCTCTGTTCCCTGATTTATTGTGTAATATCGGTTTGAGTGTCACCGGTTTACGCAAAATACGTTTCAACGGCTATCCACTCCGTCGAATTTCCACAAAAAAAATCAGTTCCCAAAGAAACCAGGATTCCCGTTGTCCGCCTTAATAATTTTAGATTGGAGTCATGTGGACCTTCTCTTTAAAACTGAAAGCGGAAAAAACAAGATCATGATCAATAAAGTTTACTTGGTAATCCCAAAGCGTCCGCTACCATCACCTGTAGAGATAGGAAGAAACTAAGAAGCTAGCACAAGTTTCCAATTTGAAAAGTACCCGAACTAGAGTGGTATCCCTACGCATCCCTTTTCCCTGATTTATTGTGTAATATCGGTTTGAATGTCACCGGTTTACGCAAAATCCGTTTCAACGGCTATACAGTCTCGGTCGAATTTCCACAAAAAAATCAGTTCCCAAAGAAACAACGAGGATTCCCGCTGTCCGCGTTGATAATTTTAGCTTGGTATCCCTACGTTGCTCTGTTCCCTGATTTATTGTGTAATATCGGTTTGAGTGTCACCGGTTTAAGCAAAATACGTTTGTCACAACACAACAGGGGAAAGTATTAGAATTTCCAGTTCAACCCCAACGCTTCCGGTTACATATAGAAAATGCAGTCACACGAAACAAGCCGTGAAAACGAAATCAAGTCGCCTCTGAATGAATGAAGAAAATTTCCATAAAAAGTTGAGTAGAATTACATTATACAGATTATAACATATATCCTAAGGTTTAATTATAGTTATAGATATGAAATAAATCTTATCCGAATAATGTACGCAGCTAATTCATCGATTAACATCAATGCTTCGTGAATGTTTCTGGTCTCCGTTATTCCAAACAAAGGCAAGATTTCCGTACAACCCCATACATTAATTATGCATACATTCATTGTTTAAAGAAAACAAAAGACAGAACAATACTAAGCCATTGGGATTTCGGCTATTGTTTTAGAAATTTTTAATTTTTTTCTAAGGCATGGGTCGCACTTGGGAAAAGTTTTCACCTTTGCCGGCTAAAAAACCACAAAAATTCGAAACCGCAACCGGAAAAGAAAACTTTTAGTCCAACCGAGGAGGGTCGCATAATAGTGGGAGTTAATAGTTTTTGCTTTGACACATTGAGAACTGAAGAACGCCAGATGCCAGAAAACATTTTTCTCTTCTTCGTCCGAACCTTTTTTCTATGATTCCTATTGTTTAGCTCGAGTTTTCAAAAATCGGCCTGCCCCACCCAAGCACCATGGTGTCTTTGATGTTTTTGCCGATTTTCAAAGTTTTTTCTAACTTGAAAACTCGGGGTCGCACTTCGCAATGTCCACCGATGACAGATTTCTACCGCAAGGTAAACAAATTCTCCCAAAAATTTGCCAAGTGCGACCCATGCCTAAGTCTTTTTTGAAACGCGCTAAATTTGGCGCTTTTTGCACTAAAATAAGAACTTTTTGGAGCAAATTTCGGACTATTTTCGCTTTCCGAAACCTAACTTTTATAATGACCCAAACATAATATTGTGCAACAAATACAATATTTTTGACACAAATATACTTTCCAGAGGGTACTCAACCAAATTCCAGGGGGTGGAGGGCTATGACAAGCATCCCCTACAGTGTAAAATGGAAATTCCAGGGGGTGGGGGTGGGGGGGGGGGTCTAACTTGAAAGTTCCCTACGTAGGGGTATGGATATTTTCTGGAACTACACAATAATAGATGTGTTTAGTATTTTACTGACTGCTTCAGTGCATATATGCCAACTCTCCCGGATAAAATAGAGTTATGAGCTTCTCTGTGCTTTCATTTTGAGTTTTTCCCATTTTTTCTCAAAATTCCAATTTTCTCTGATTCATAGTTCGGTTTCTGGGGCCTTTTTGCACGTTTTTCATCACTGACAAAGATTATTTCGCCTTCACAATCATAAAAGCGAATTATGAAGGTCTGTAGTTCGTGGAAGAACTCATATAATGTCGTAAGCTTATTGGGGGATCGGCGGGAAGGGAGGGGGGGGTTGGTCGTTAAAATTGGGGTAGGGGGCAGTGATGCAAAAGAGAGAGTCTCCAGATTTTAGATTTCCAGGGGTTGGCATCTCTGTGAGTGTGGTCCCTTGGTTGATGGCTTCAAGTAAGGTTCCTATGGATGTATATATGTTGTAGTTAATTTTTCATCTCA